GGTTCAGGAAACGCCTCCAATCAGCCAATTCTCAGCAGTAGATGATCACACCTGCAGAATAGTGACTGCTCACCTTGAACGGAGCCATTGGTGACGACGCACCCCCCAGTATATTCTGCTGTAAAATGAGTCGGGCTCATGGGGCCCCTCCTCCCCCACGCTCTCTCTCCATTCCTCTCCTGGTCGCCATCTTTACTCCTCCTCTCCCTCTTCGGTTCTTTGAAAGAACGTCTTTATTTTGGGAAGTTATTTCCGATCTTCCAGCGGCTCTTCTTTCCTTTTTTTCTTTTCTGGAATCCGCTTAAGTCGTCGTTTTGGTCTCCATCGTCGCTAACTCATTGTACGTAACGGTTATGGTTTTAATCTATGCTCTGGATTACCCATAATTCCAAGTCGTATTGTAAATGATAAAATACTCAAATAAATCGTTCCTTTAAGATCTTTATTGCCGTTTGAAACATATTATATATTTTTTACCAACCGTCTAATGAACTAAACACAGTTATTAGCATAGTAATTAAAAGTGTCTGCTTTGCTGTTGGTGTTGCGTTTAAACGGCTCACCATCATGGTGAAATCTGCCATGTGGCGCCGTATAAATCCGGTCCGGTCTGGTCGGTCTCTTCAGGATCAGGTGGGTTCGCATCATTACATCTGCAAAGAGGCGTCCTAGTCTACAGTTGCGTAGGGGGTCCACCAGGTGTCAGTGTTGGGGCCCCTAAGAGGTCATGGACCCGTAAGCAACTGCTGACTCTGCTTATCGATATTTATGCCATTGCTTCCAAGGATTAGTGTCAAAGTGAAAAAGAAGGCGTAACTTGTAAACCTGAATTTGTGAATCACAGCAGCAGATTCCTCCAGTTGTATTCATTAATTTGTATTTGTGTTAAGGAAAAAAATTGTATTTTTTAATGATTTTAATACACGTGTTTGAGTTTGTTTTGCACCATTTGTTTTAGATCAACTATAGCAAATCTGAATGGAAGTGGCGGTTTCTCCATTCTCCCACGCTTGTGCAAAACTCTGGTTTTATTTGAGCTTGGTGGCAGACGGGGCAAACATCGGCCTAAACTCTTTAAAACAATGTGAATTCTACATCTTCCTATTCCTTTAGATCCTGGGACTTTATGTGCCCATCCTTATCTTTTTACTTATCTTGTTAAATGGACAAGCAGTTTTAGTTTGCTATCTTTGTAGTCCGACTCCACATAAGGCAAGAATAAAATAACCATTAAACAGGATTAAAGGATGTTTGGACAACAGTGTGCAGAGATAGGGCCTCTGGAGAGGCTAGCATGTGGAGCACAAACACAAAGGTAAGAGATCCTATTGAATCAGGACTCAGGAGGATTGAAGAGACTCACCAGGCATTGCTGTGGTCATGGGGGAGAAACACAAAGAAAAAAGATGCAGGAATGGAGCTCATTATCTGTAGAAAATCTCTGAGGAGAAGCGTCTCCTGTGCTTAAAGGATCCATCTAGAAGATTCACTAAATCTGAAGGAACTGAGCTAACTGGGAACTGTGGAAAATCTCTGGTTTGGTGACCAGACAGAAGGAACCGTTGTGGAGATCGGGCAGGAGTCAGG